TTGTTCGATGGGGTAAGTACTGAGTCAAGTTTTGGATACAGTTTAATAATGCTAAACCCCGGATCGGGAAATTTTTCAAGTTGCGATTTTGGCTTCAGCAAACTGATACAGCTTGACTTGCGTAGAGGATCAGGAGTTTGTCAATACGCAGGGGGTTTATATATCGACTACTATGAAAATAGTAACGTTGACAACAATGAAAAAATATTGTTTCAATCTACCTACGTCCGGGAAAATAATAATAATAAAAGCAATTGCACTATGTTGTTCGGGTACGATACTCCTATTTTAAACGGTGGTGGAATCTCATTGTTTTTAAGGCATAGTATTAGATACAAGATGATAATGTTTAAAAGTTATACTCGAGTTCATGATAATGAGGGTACATCATCTGGAGGGGGATTATACATATTATTCGAAAAAAATTCTCAAAATAACATCATTCAGCTTCAACAAACGTTTATAGAAAGAAACAAAGCTAATGAATCAGGTGGAGGCATTCACATAACCAATATGGGCATTAATAATTCATTGCTCATAGATAGTGACTCTTATATTGATTCAAATGTTGCACTAAAAGGCGGGGGATTATGTATTTATCTGACAAGTTGTTCAATAAATAGCACGATGATTCTTAACAAAGCGGATGTATTCTCCAACAAAGCAAATTCAAATGGTGGAGGTGTGTTTATAGAAGATGCAGGTAAAAGTAATACTGTAATAATAAATCAAAGTAATATATTTCAAAATGAAGCAGAAAAAACTAGTGGAGGAATACATGTTTATTTATTAAAAAAAAGTGAAAGCAACTCACTATACTTAATTAATAGTAAAGTATATTCAAATCAAGCTAGCATAGGCTCTGGCATGATGATCAATTCTGCATTATTAAAATTTGAAAATGTTGATATTTATAACTGTAGCAATAAAGGTAGTCAATTTATTTCCCAGGGCTCCATATATGCTGTGAACAGTACATTAATTTTTTATGGAAAAAATATTATTAAAGAAAACAATTTTTCTGCTGTTATCTTATATTTTTCAAAAATAATCATTAACGGCACTTTGAATTTTCATAAAAATACTGGCCGAAACGGGGGTGCACTTGCATTATTTGGCCAATCTCAAATTTTTTTGAAAAATCATTCAAAATTGAGTTTTAAAGAAAATAACGCCTTAAAAAGCGGGGGTGCAATTTATGTTTTAGTACCCGGACCGCGTTTTAGACCTTGGCTTCCTTCACCAAACAGAAAATACTGTTTTTTTCAAATAGATAAGACATCTAGTGTTTTAGTTAATTTTAAAGAAAACACTGCAAATGATTTAAAAGGTCATGATATATTTATCTCCGCGTTAAACACATGCAGATCAAATTTTGAAGAAAGTGCGTCTAGTATAATTACTTTGTGGAAAGGTTTTAATTTTGAGAAAAACTACGAAAACAGCATTGTCACAGACGCTGTTAATATAACTGTTCAAATGCAACGGATTGAGCAACCTGGAAGAAAGTCTAAAATAACAGTGGAATTATGGGATGAGCGACAACAATCTGTTGATGAATTGGTAACTATTAAAGGATTCGGAAATAACGTAAGAAAATTTAAAATCAATAATAGCACAGTTGAAGTCGCATTTTATGGAGAGGCCAACACTAACATTTCTATAATAATTATAGCCGGGTCTATTTCAAAAAAAGTCAATATAACATTACCAAAATGTTCGTGTGGTTATTTGTACAGTAAAACAAACAAAAGATGTTTATGTTCAAATAATATACCATATGACGTTTGCACCGATGACTTCATCAAATTTCAACCAAATAAATGGATTCGCAATAACTTTTACCCTTGCCCAATAAATTTATGCAGAGTTAGCTCTGCAAACAATGGTGAAGACGATTACTGGTTTAATGAAACTAACCAGTGTGTAAGCGGAAGAGACTCGTCATCTGTACTTTGCAGTGATTGCTTGCCAGATTATTCTGTTTTGTTATGTAATAGTTCTTGTGTTAAATGTTCAGGGAATAAAAACATTGTATTTGTATTAGTAATTACATTGGGCGTGGTCAGTTGTTATAACTTGATAATTATAATTGCAAATTATAACTCATTTGCTTGGTACTTGATACCGACGGTTTATTTTTACACTTCGGTCAGCCAGATATGTACAGCTATGGTCAATATTCCAAGTTGGATGGTCTTAATGACTAATATTGTCAGTTTGCTTGGAATGAATATAACTTTTGATTTAATGCCACATGCTTTTAGCTGTATTAAAGTTATGAATGATTTAAACAAAGTATTGCTTCGCGTTGTGGTTTTAGTTATATGGCTTCTTAGTTTTGCGATTGTTGCAACGTTAACAAATTACTGCTTTCATTTAAGAAAAGAAGTTATTAAACGCTCGTTGGTTATTATCAGTTTTATTTTTTATTGTATCTTAATAGAAGTTTCGATTCAATTAATGTTATATATCGATATTGAGGGTGAAGAAAGAAGATTGTTCGTTGCACCAAGTCAACATTACTTCAAAGGTCCACACCAATGGATACTCATATTTGTTGTTGTTTTTTTTGCAATTTGTCTGATGTTTCTTTTACTTATTTTTATCTTTTCAATTTTTTATAAAGATGAAGACAAGATAAATAATACCATTCATTATTATTTTTTTAAACTTAAACCGTTCATTACATATTTTGCAAAAGGATTGGAAGAAAACAAACGCTGGATATGTTGTTTTTATTTTTTTGCAAAACTTCTCATGACGACTTTAATAGGTCTTGGATCATGCGCAGACGTACCTTTATTAGAAATGTGGAAAGCGGTAACATGCTTGGTACTTTTATGGTTTCTATTAATGGTAAAACCCTACAAGAAAAAAGAAAAAAACATATTTCATATCCTATGTTTTACAAGTTTATCATTGATAGCCTCGATCAACAATAGTATTCAGTTTCAATTTTCAATTTACAATACCTCAAGTGGAATATGTATACACTATATTTACCTTATCTTAGCAGTTTTACCACTTATATTTTGCGCATATGAAGCAAAAACTTTTTCTAGAGTAAGAAAAAACAATGGTAAGTTTAAAGTTATTTTTTTTTTCTTTTCTATTAAAGTCTTGTAAACTGGTAATCACTCCGTAAAAATTCATTGAACTGTAAAAATTCATCGTTACGTTATAGGTATGTGTGTAAAAATTTCCAAACCTTTAACTATTAAATCATCAGATTTTATTCCCAATCCTTTTATAAACTCCTTGTCTTTGTCAGTTGTGTAAGAGTTAAAAACACCGGAAGGAGGCCGGAGATAGGGGCACACTCATCCCTTTCCCTTCCCCCCTCCCCCACGTACACTTTTTTTTTAAAAGACCGTTTTTTTTTTTGTTTTTTTGTTTTTAATTCTAGATATAGTAGACTTTTTTTAAAAATTGACGATTGTGCACCCTACCCCCTCCCACCCCTACTTCGAAACCCGTGTTGTCGGTCCTCTTTATTAACATCAAATCTTGCAATTAATTTTTGAGTCATTTCCTCCCAGTGGGCACACGACATCATTCCGACGTCGGATTTACGTACGATTTTCATCAGCGATGTCAAAAGACCTATTCCGACGTTGTTCCGATGTCAGTAAAATGACGTCGGGCGATGTCTTTATCTCAACATCCCCTGACGTCGTTTCGATGTATTTTGACGTTGTTCCGACATCTTATAAAAGACGTCCAAAAAACGTCGCAGTACTGACATCGATCCAACGTCGATAAAAAGACGTCGGGCAACGTCATAATATTAACATACTCCGATGTCTTTTGACGTCTTCCGACGTCAATCCAACGTCCTTAAAACGACGTCGGAACAACGTCGTAAGACATCGCTGATGAAAATTTAATCCAAACCCAACAATATGTGTGCAATTGCGCTCTTCAATAAATATGTGAACTAAGCGTGTTTTTTATTAATGGAAAGAAGTTTGAATAATGGTTGATAAAACATCATGAGGTTTTGTATGATGCACTAGCATAGTTTTTTAACTATTAACATTTTCAAGTATACATTTTTTATAATATATAACTATTCGTTTTAATATTTATATAATATTTAAACAAAATTATTTCTTATCAAAGTAATAATTCCCAAACTGCTACAAGTATAAATTACTAAATAAACTCATTATTTAAAATGTCCCTATGTGTAGTGGTAAGCTCGTGGGATTTTGTTTCTAATAGACCGAGGTTCGATTCCTGCCTAAGGCATCGTTTTTTAGTTTTCAAAAACACGTTGGATTTACATCGGAATGCCGACGTCGCGCGATGTCAGTTTATCCGACGTCAAATAACATTTCCATTTCCAACGTAAACCCAACGTCGATCCGACGTCGAGATCCGACGTCGAAATGCCCACTGGGCTGATAATTTTCTTCAAATTTTGCATAAAAACTCTTGCTTGATGACAATACAATATTCAATAATTAGTTTTGCAATAAGTCAATTAATTTAGTTAATTTATTTAAGTTTATTTTTTATATTAAAAAAAGAATAATAATTTTAAAACTAAATATAATAGTTAATAAAATGAAATAGTAATTACAAAAAATTGATTACAAATTTTGTGTTTTAATATCATATAAAAGCATTGGTTTTTGAAAATTTGCTTTTAATTTTACTTGTTACCAATGAAATACCAATGAAATATAATTATAACTTTATTTTTATAATAAAAATAATAAAATGTTTATTAGAAAAAAAGGAAAGAAACATCAAAATATACATCAAGTAAAAAGAAAAAAATATCAAAATATACATCAATAATATTAGAAAAAAATGTACATAATAATTTTTCAATGTTATACAGTAATTAAAACCTTTAATACAGGTTCCTTATTTGACTTGGGTGAAAAAAGCAAACAATTATGATAATATTGTACCATGTTTCTTTAACATACTAAAGTTATAAATATCAGATATCATCTTAAAGTATTACACAATGACTTTCTGCACATTTTGTTTTCTCAATTTCAAAAATAATGAAAAAAAAAATACCCACTGCACACAGCAAAAGGTATATTCAATCCACCGTGGTCCATAGTTTTTCTATAGTCTCTATATAACGGAAAATAAAATGCAGCATCATTAAAAAAAATCATTTTATCACTACAAATTTTTTTTATACTTACAGTTTTCTAATTTAGTAGCTTTTTCTAAAAAACTAATGGTTTCATTCGTATTGCTAGGGTGGATAACTTTTAAATAAGTTTTAAGAGCAGCTATAGTTTCATCGCAAAATACTCTTTAAAAATGTGATACTTTTTGTCTTTCAATGGGTTTTGGACGTAAAGCTACAAAATTTAGTTTTAATTAGCTGATCTTTTTCAAAATCAAAGATGCAGTTAAGGTCACTTCACTTGGCATTCAAATTTTGGTCTTTTTCAAATTGTAATTCCTGCATTTTTTCCGTAATCCAGTTATTCCTTATATTTTTTAGTAGATGGACATAATCAAAAAGGAGAAAAATTCCATATTTTATTAACCACGGTTTTCTTTTAACTTTTTTCAAATAATTTTAAAAAAGCTTGATTTGTTCGATTGCCATCGATCACAAATAACTGAAATTACTTTTCCATTGCTAAACTTATTCGAATTAATAATATAGCATACTTGCTCAAACAAAAAAGAAGTATCCAAATGACAGACAGGTATCATTTTGCATAAAAAAGATGGTCCACCTTTTAAACTTTTAACCATAATACCCAAAACACTAAACACTATTTGCTAACAATTCTGGATTATTTTCCGCTTTTCCAAAAAGATAACCACGCTGATAAAGAAAAAGAGACTTTACATAAACTTTATCTATCAAAAGTATATAATTTCTATAATTTTTTTCTAAATTTGAAAAAATGCTACTAATAAAGTTAATATCTGAAACTTTCTTTCCCATAGATTTTTGTTAATGTTTTTACACTTGGCACTTTAAAATCTTTTCGTACCTGATTGTATATACTTTGAGACGTTGAAAAATATTAACACGATCTGATTATAGTTTCTATATTATAAATTTTTTTACCTGGTTCTGATGTATTCATAGATGTAATAAGATCTTGTAATATAACTTTTGATGATCAATTCAATGTTGTTCAGGAAGCGAACTGTTTCTTCAACTCTTGATCAGCGATTAAGATATGTAATACGATTTTTTGATACTGAGGAAATAAAACAACAAACACTAGCATGAAAACTTTCAAATTTAAAATTGCTTGAGATATGAACAGCAAACATAGGTATAAAGTTAACATTAGGTATAAACATAGGTATAAAGTTAACATAGGTATTAAGTTAACATTAGATTGGATGTGCAAAACATCATTTATAACAAAAGTTGTTACAGGACAAACAAGTTTACAATTTTTGATATCTTCACATAAAAAAATGAGTATAAACAAATCGTTTTTTAAATATTGCGACAACTCATCATACTTTTCAATTCTGATAAAAAAAAACACATTAGTAGTGGACCTTGATTTCAAAGATTGAGTTGCCCACACTAAGTAGAATGTTTAGAAAAATTGAAAGAGATTCAACTAGTCTAGCTTTCCCATTGACAAAAGTTTTTAAAAAATTTTTGGGAAAATGTCTTTCACAGACAACAGTATCTGGTTTATTTGGAAAATTATTTCTTGGAATTGAATTTATCCAACTATTTCTTTCTTCTTCATTGAAGGGAATCCTAAAAACTCGTACTTTATTTTTAGCGTTATAGTCCGGAAACACAGCACTTTTTAACCATTTATTGGTTAAAAAGTGTGCAACTACTCGCAAAACAAACTTTTAAAAAACTAAAATATATCTTTCCCTAAGATAGTCCGCCCCCAGTTAAAAATACGGGTTTGCGACGAGAAGGCCTGTTGTAAGTATAAATTACAATTATTTCAAAAGATCTTTTCACAATTTTAAAAATCATAAGTTTTAAAACCAAAGATGTTGAAATGTTTTTTAAATCATTTTAACAACCAATATATTTATGGTATTATTTAGTAGATTATTACTAATATAGTCAGTGACATAATAAGGTAGACAGTGGGATTTATTTAAACCCCCTCCTTCTCAGCCTTCCATCCAAAGATTTAAAAAAAGAAAAAAAGAAAGACACATTCTAAACGCAAAATAGGTAAATAAAACTACAACAAAATTATTTTTAATGTATTTAACTGTTTTTTTGTAACCAACTGCTTATATTCTCCAAATTTGAATCAGATATGTTGTACGTACAATCTGATATTGTTGTGAGTGTAGAAATTAGGCACATAACTTCAGAATTGAGCACCCAACACTCGTCATTTCTCATTGACAAAAAGAAGATTTTACCTGGTCCATAAAGATACACGAATCTGACTTTTATCAAGCTCACAAAAACATGCAATATAATTTTAATGTTTAATGAAATCTCTTTATTATGTTTGCTTTTTCGAATGATATTAAATATTTCAATACATGTATCAACACTTGTTTTTTTATAACTTATAGTGTTTGAAGCAAATGATGATACGTCCTTGTGCCAGGTACTGTTCTTCCACCTAAATATCTTTTTTTCTAATTGTGCTCGTGTTTGGTTGATTTCATCTTTAGAAAATAATTTTTAAAAAATTCCATTTGTCTCGGCTTTACAAAAGGAGCACATTAAATTAACATTTGAAATCTGCCCAGTAGATATTTGTTTTAGACTTTCTTGACATATTACTCTTTTAACAGTCACACCAATACCATCACAGGGGGATTTAACAAGACCGGAAGCAAAAATACCCATTCAGCATTTAATTCAAAATCTTTACTGTGATGACAAAGATTAATAAAGTTTTTAAATTTTTTTAAATGTGCTGCACAACCATCGGAAAAATATTTCACTCTTGATACATCAGGTAGATTTTCTTTTATATAACTAGTTATATCTTCTTGAGTCTTGTAAATAAATCATGTATCATGATCAACATCTTTTGAAAGGTAACAAAAAAGTTTGTGTTTGAGAACTTTTTTCTTTATAAACTTAAGTACAATTGTAAGAAGTAAACATTGACTTTTGCTCCAGGCATTATGAGTACCTGACATATTAGTTGTAATGCACCATTTAGGTTTAAGAGTACAAAACTTTGACAAACTGACTTTGACGCTAGGGTAGTCTTTTTTCAATGCAATAATTCATTAACATTGAGTAACAATAATCTTTTTTGAACATGTTGGTTTTTCTTAAATCTTTTTTCCAGGCATGATTGATAGACTTTGGATGAGACCTGATGTGATATGATGTGGGTGGTATGAACTAAAATGTAGAAGGCTCTTGTGTCGGTGGGTTTTCGGTGATTTGTGTTCTGTATTTTATCTCGATGGTTCTTGTAGAGAGTTAAGTCCATAAAGTCAATGGAAGTATCTAAGTGGTTAAAAATTCTCAAAAATTTTGATAAAAGTTAATCACTAAATTAACTGTTTCTGGTGAAAGTGGGTTTCTTGTTTTTCTTCCGGGAAAGGATAGAATTCCAAACTTATTTTTATTATTTCTAGCAGTTCGAACAAGATACTCAGACACTTTAAAGTAGCTTGATATCTTTATACATGTCCATGATTTTTGTGTGAGTGTTAACATTTGCACTTTGTGGTGATAAGAGTCAAAAAAAAAATCCAGGGAGATTGCGGGAAGAGGCGGGAGGCAATAGTCTGCAATTTTTTGAAAAGCTGTATCTCCTGATGCATATTTGAAGTTGCAAACTGAGGTCTCTAACTCTGTTTTAGTTTTTAGTATATTAAAACTTTTAAACAATTCCGATAAAGGTTAAATAACAAAGTAGCCAAAGATTAGTCAATCAAGTAGCTGAATAATTTTAAAATGAAATGGGATAACTTCATTGTTTCATTTCATAGTTTGGATCCGCGATCTAAAAAACATTTTGAATACACTTCGTCAAATAAATATTTTGAAAATTGACACACGTTTTATTCTTAACCTGAGCTATATCCAATTAACTATTTAATGAAAAACTAGCAAACTTTAATTTTGTTTTTAAAGGAGCAAAAAGATTTGATACCGTAGCATCTTACCCTATAAAGTTACAGGTAACTAATTTCTGTTGACCTCAATGGTAGCAAGCATAAACGTAAAATAGTTTTGTTTGTTGATTCATTAATTAAGGCGAATATGAAAATAACTTTATCAAAAATAAAAGTAAAAAGCAAATGAACTTTTTTAAAGAAATTTAGTTTATAAATTATATTTAGGAATTTTAAAAGATTCTAGCAATATAATTTACAAACATTCAGTTTTTTGTTGTTGTTGTTGTTGTTGTTGTTGTTGTTGTTGTTGTTGTTGTTATTGTTGTCGTTGTTGTTGTTGTTGTCGCTGTTATTGTTGTTGTTGTTGTTGTTGTTATTGTTTTTAATTGATATTTTTTTAACGTTTTTTACTATTTATAGCTTTAACTGTCGAAACAGCCTTCGTTTTTGATTATTTTGCAGTTTTATAAATTGATAAGTTTTAACTATCATAAACTCATTTTTGCAATCAAACCAATGGCTAATGATTTGAAATAATGACATATAAAGCTGATAAAAAGCTATAATCAGACAATTTGAAGCAAAACTTGATGTTTCAAATGAAAATAAAAATATTATAGTAAACAGACGTTATCTTTAAATCAAACTGCATAAACTAATGCCAAAATTATAAAAAGTTATCTAATTTTATTAAAATCTTAAAAATAGCCTAAAAAAACTTATTTTTATTATTTTTCATAATGAAATAATATTGTAAATAATGACCTCTGCTATTAAATAATCAATGTAATTTTTTTTTACAGGTGAAAATTTCAATGAAGGCGATATTCCTCCTATTGCTGATTCAACAGAGCTGTTAAATAGTTTAGAAACCTAAATCCATCGAATCCATGTTTTTAAACTGTTAATTTTTTTTGTTTCGAAAATGTAAATTAGGTAGTTAACAAAATAAACAATTAAAATGTATAAAAATAAAAAATGAAAAATTGATTTTGCTTATTTGTATATAACTTTTTTTATCAGAATTTTTTTTAAGAACATTTTTATAAATTAGTCTTACATAGTTTTTATGGCGGTAATTATATAACTGGTTTATCAATTATTCTCTGAGGTAATGGCTTGCGCAATCATATGTAAAATGTTTTCATTTTTATAAACAAGGGTGTGGAGTCGTAAAAAAATAGTAACGACTTCGACTCCAGTTGTTGAAATTTTTTGAGTACAACACCGACTCCGACTCCAACTCCGACTTCAATTCCAAAGGAAAATTTTTGAAAAATTCTTTGAATTCTTTAAAAAATATTGCCCGGTAAGTTGAAATTTTTTTTTGACAAATTTATGAAACGTTCTCTGATGTTTAGTATGAACATAAGGTTAATTTAATGTTTTTTATATGCACGTGCAATACCAAGAAATTTTACTATTGGAGTCGGAGTTGCGATATTTTTTAGCGACTCCGACTCCGACTCCGGTAAAATTGTCGCAACTCCGCGACTCCGACTCCGACTCCACAGCCCTGTTTATAAAGACTAATTTTCAATATCTCAAATAAATATATTTATGTAAGGTAAATAAATAAATAGTTTAAAACTTGATAAATATATGTATATATATATATATATATATATATATATATATATATATATATATATATATATATATATATATATATGTATATATTATATTTATTTATTTATTTATTTATATAGTATATCCAACAAGTTTAAAAATATATATACAAACGGAAAGTGAAGTGGAAAACCGTCTAGCAAACTTCGATCTAAACGACAAAAAAGTATGATGTCTCATACTAGCTAACACTCTATTATTCGACTTAAAAGTTTTACTTAAAGCTCTGAAGTTATATTTAAAAATAACAGCGCAAAACAGTTTCTGTTTAGAAATTAAATGGTTCAAAGGTTGAATTTATTATTGACTGTTTTATAAAAAACATTACAGGAAACCGAATAGTTAAGGTGATATTGTTAGCTGAGATTTTTAAAATTCTTTTATGTCGAGTGTATGCACATGTGCACATTCAATAAAGCTAAATCAAAATTAGAAGTTAGGATTTGTTTTTGAACTTAAGTTGTAGTATGCAATTTGTGATTTAAATAACTCTGAACTTTAAAGAAAGATTAGAAACAAAAGGTTTTGACATTGGTGGTTAAATGGTATACGTATGACAGGGTATGTAGTATGCGTTCAACAGGGATGTGTTATCACTATCATAACTGGTTTTTTATGAATAAAGTTGCATCTAATGTTTAGTCATGGTCTATAGTGCAATATTTAATAGATAAAAAGATTCAAGACAAATATAATCATTATTATTAATAGAATATCTATAAATATTTTTTTTTAACGTGTTTTTATGAGATATCAATATTGTACTAACTTTGCATTACTGTGGCACGAATATTTCAGAAACGGATTGACCAAAACTTATCATATTTGGACAGTTTGTTGACTATGTATCAAGCTATGCAATGAACCTCAAAATTATGTGAATGTATCAAGTTGTGCAATGAACCTCAAAATTATGTGAATGTCTTAAAAATAAAATAAAATGATTTTTCAAACATTATGATGGGTTAAAAAAAACGTTTTTTTTTGCATCCTTAGAAGAAATAAAGCACAACCTTAAGGAATGAGTAAGTTAAAAGTTTTTGAGGTTGATTGCATACCTCTAACATCAAGATAGGTATATGCAAAATTTTATTCTATGTTATCTTCTGCATTTTGAAATATTTTTGCCACAAAATTGGACAGTTTTTAAGTTTTACCCCTCGAAAATTAGTCCTCAGGGCAACCCTTTATTTTAATTTTTAACTTAGTTTCATTTAGAATTTACTTAATATATAGAAAAAATTATTTAACTATCAAAATAAAAGATTTTTTTGTTTATGGGGTTGTACCCCCTTAAGAATTCGCTTATCATCTAACAGCAATTTTTTGTCGTTTTATAATTTTTATGCTTTATGGATATTTTATGTTGCTGATTGCTATTGTTATGTTCTGCTTGCTATTGCTATCTCCTGCAATAGTTTTAATAATACTTTTATTTTTTACATTTCTACTGGTTTCTTATTCTCTTTTTCAAGAAAAAAAATTCATTTCTTTAAGTATGCACAACTTTTAAATTTGATTTTTAATTTGGTTGGTCCAACAACAGTTTTTATTTGTAAGCGCAAATGCATTGGATTTGTAGTTTGACTAACCGCAGTTCTAATGCAGTTGCTTGAACTGATTAAACAAATAGATAACAAGACCAAACAAGCACACAACACCAGAAATTAGTTAATGCTCTGAGCTATCCTTTAACATGAAACACTAAAAAAGAAAGAGACAAGATAGGCATGGTAACTACCACATTGACAAATAGAAACAATACCCAACTAACGACGGCGTAAAAATTGGGCATGAATGTAAAAATAAGGTCAAAATAAGTGACAAAAGTGTGCCTAAAAATTTAAACTGGAAGTCTGGGACCAATGTTCAGCCAAACATGCAAAAAAATGCAAGTTTTGAAAAAAATCATTCAAATTAAGTTTTTCTAGAAAGCTATGATTATAGTGTACACAAAAAAATATTTCACAAAATTTGAAAAGCATGTCCCTTCAAATTTTTGAAAATATTTGAATCGTATCTCGAATCATATTTTTGATTCGATTCGTATATATATTCCATATCCTTTGCCGTATCATAAAATTTATAATAAGAAAGATCATACATATATCGCATATATATGTACGATCTTTCTTATGATCGTACATATATATGCGCATAAATAATAATAATATTTTATTATTATTATTTATGCGGTCATGATAAAGAAATGTTTGTTTTGTGGGTAATTTATTCCACAATATTCAAAGTATACAAATTCTAAAACTCAATCAATAAAAACTAGTTTATTTGCAATTAGCTAGTTTTGAGTGAAGGAAAATGCCCTTTTATGTGTGGAGCAAAATGTCATGTGATTATTTAGTTTTAAAAACTTTTAGGTAATTTTTTTTTTTTTTTTTTGAAAAGAAACATAAGTATTAAAACTAAATATTTACAGGGCGTTTTACCCGACACATAAAAAGACATTTTCCTCTTTTTACTAAATACTATGTTTTTCGATATGTAAAAATTTTTTTGAGATTATATATTTATATATTTTTTTGTACCAATGGGAAATTAATTCCTTTGTATAATTGTACCGATTTTTTTTTTTTTTTTTTTCGTTTTTTTAATTTATTACAAATAATCAAGTAGTTCTTTATTCAATGTTTTCTCTTATAAATAAACGTTGATACTAAAAAAAAATTTTAAATACGAAAATTATATGTTGTGCGCTATTATGTTTTTTAAAGAAGATGGGCATCATGTCCACAATACCCTACTTTTTAATCAAAATTGTTAATTTTTTTTTTTCCTTCTTCAAAAAATGTTCTGTTTTTTTTTTTTTTTTTTTTTTTTACTAATCCGTTTATTATTTACTTGTTGATTTTTTTCAAAAACTTGCAATGCAATCCAATGCCACTAAATTAACAATATATACGTAAAATTAGGCTTGCCATAATTTAGAGCTATAAATAGTTTAAGAACTTGATCAAATTAGCTGTGACGTCATAAATTTCGCACTACGTCCTCCAAATTGTCACAAATTTATTACCCCACGTAATTTGAGAACGAACTCATATTTTAACGGCTTTAAAATTAATTTTATGAGTGCCTAAATAAAGTTTGTACTGATGTTCAAGCGGAGCCTCATTTAATTCCATTGACAAATGAAAAATTTAATTTCAAAACTGCCAATACCAACGACGAAGCTCGATTGGATATAAAAGCAAAAGGGTTTTAGAGAAAAGGAGAAACTGCATTTTATGATGTTAGAGTAACGCACGTAAACTCCAAATCCTCCAAAAAACAACCAACAAAACACATATTCCGTAGGCATGAAGATGCAAAAAAAACGTGAGTATTTAGAACGAGTTCTAGAGGTTGAACACGGGACATTTACCCCATTAATTTTTGGTACGAATGGTGAGTTTGGAGACGAATGCAAACGCTTCACGGCACTACTCGCACAAAAACTGTCCTTAAAAATGGGTGAGCGGTACGGAGCTGTTATAAATTGGCTAAGGACACGTCTTTCCATGGAGATTACAAGAGCCTCCCTACTCTGCTTAAGAGGGTCACGAACCCCATTTAGGCATCATAACACTGACGATGTTGGCCTGGAAAATGTGCAATGTGGACTTATTTAACTTGTATTTTTAAATTGTTTTATTAGTTTAAATATAATTTTAGGAGCGGTGAACGCACGCGGGTACTTTATGCGTAAAGTTTGATTGAGTGTCGATCTTTTTAAGCGAACATTTTACATATAAAAAAGGATCGCTAAAAACGAGCAATGAACATTATGTGATTGGTCAGCGCACACGCACACTTTAAAAATTGCTTAAAATAAATGAAATATTTATTTTTCGCTCACAACTCTAACACAATAATACTCATTTGTATACGGTACTGTTACTTAAACTTAGGACGTATTATTATGGACGTTTAACGTATTGTTTAAAAGCCAAGATATCCACGCTATTCATTGTTACAAATAACAATAGCAAAACAATAGAGAACAGATGTTAACTATTTTTAACTTGAGAATATTTTTACTTGATTTTGTGTCAAAATAACGATAGTCTCGCTTAGCCTAATAAATATTTAAACATTCCATAACTAAAAACTCAAAAAAAGTTTTTAAATAAGCAAAACCTTTTTATTATATGATCTATAAACTCAAGCGAAACCTTTACATGAAAAAAAAAAGTTAATCACAGAAAAATATTAAAACAAAATTGTGAGACAAATTTTCCGACAAAGATGAGAAATTTAAATACTTAAAATAATAGTGAAAACTATGTGTAGGGAATAGAGACCACGAGTAATCTATAGTTCGATCTATATATAATC